ATATTGTTCGAGACAGAGTTTAAAGAAAATCATAAGAAAATCTAGACACAGATGTGATCAATTTCTTTGATATTTTGTACCGTTTCATCTCCACCCAGTGTGACAGAGAACAAGCACAGGGGGAGGGCTTCAGGAGAGCAGATTAGAGTAGCTTAAACAGCGTGTTTTGCCCTTTGGTTTTGATCCCCACTGCATAAAGGCCTCCCACTGCTCCCTAACACATCAGTCTGATAAAATGTTATTTGTAAATGTTTTGGGTTTTTTTAAAAACATAATTAATTTGAATTTTAGACATTTTAGACAAACATCTTTATTTTTGTCTGATCTGTCATAAGGACATTGTTCCAGAAGGATCTTTGGTTATTTATTGGCAGTTTTACAAACTGTATTTGGGCTAATGTATGTATTTTTTTCTGCTGTTCTACTGCTCGTATTTAAAATCTCAAATGGCTCTTCTCTGTTTGTTCCGTTGTGTGTTTTTGTATGTTTCTATGTGTGTTTTCAATACTTTAATAAACATTTAAAGAACAGCCAATTCATATTTCATTATGACCTGAAAGGTTAAAACTTTAACAAATGATTGGATAAGCAATTCTTTTTTTAGTATTATGCTGCCAAAAGAGTATTTTCACTGGAGCAACTCTTCTGGACTGTCTTCAAATGCCTTTCATTTTTCCATGAAAAAACACACCCACAAGTAATTTGAAGTTTCCAGATGTCAGTTTTACACCCATCGGCCCCTCTGATGAAATCTTCCTAAATGTTCTGGCATCAGCCATCAAATTATTGTTTTTGCACTGGACATCTTTCTTCATTTGAGACTCGGATCTAAACGTAATTGGAGGGCAGCTATTATGGCAATTATTGCGAATAGCTGACTTGTGTTGTAAGATTGAAGCTTGCCTGTCTGAAACTGAGCCAGTGAGTCGGACTTGAGTTACGGATCCACTCAGGTACATCAGGGTGATATGTTTATTGTCTCTTCTTTGACCTTTCATTCTCTTTACCCTTTCTTTTTCTCCACTTGTTTTCCTTTTGATTCACAAAGCTCCACTTCATTTGAAATTTTCTCTTTCTAAAATCCTCTCTGTAGTGAAATCAGCCTCCATTACCACTTGCAAACTAAGGTATAGCTGCATGTGTTTCCAATTTCAGATGTAATGCGGCTCTCCACGCAATCTGACCCAATTAGAGAGAGAGCCTCCTGGAAAAGCCCCAGTCGCCAACCCTGGTGGCAAGGGGGTAATAGGTCAAAGGTGATGCTGTTCAATGAGATGGGCTGGGGTGGGGAGGTGTTCTCTGACGACTGTGTCACCTCCTGTCAGTCTGCATGGCTTAGACAGGTTTGGCACAGGTGGGGAATACATCCAGAACATGCAAACCTGAGCTGAAATCAAATTTCACAGCTCAATAAATGTCCAACGTGAAGCACAAGGCCAGATAACGTGCAACGCTCAGTGAGGGAAGTACGCGCACCCATGCTGCCGCACCACTGCTCTGACAAACAAACAACACATGTGCCTACACGTCTTTTCTGTAAGGAACTGAAATACATGTCTGGAATGTTCACCTTAGAGAAAGAGAGAGGGAGCCTGAGCATCAGAGCTGCACGGCCCTCATTAGGCGGGAACAGAGGATTCAGTTAGGTAATTCTGTTTTATGACTAATTAGAAACAGGTTGCAGAGGCGTCCCATTCCTAGTCTGTGTGTTTAGATTATCGATGTGCAGTTTATTAAATGACTTCAGACAGAACATGCATACAATCCTGCACGTCTTGTTTACATCATCTCTCGCGCAGTTGCCTGTCTTCTCTTTTTCTCTCATTACATTACCTCTCAATCACTCCTCCCTGTCTCCTTATCTGTCCCTCCTTGGTGTCTTGTTTCAGGCCTCAGTCCACCTACAGCGGGTGCACTTCTCAACCCCGTCCCTCTGCGTTAGACTTGCAGCCTAAATACTGAATGGTCTATTTACAGTTACGCCTTCCATATCGCAAGCACGCTTCCACACCTTCCCGTGTCTTTCTGAATTTTTTGAACTCATCCGCCCCTCGGTGTCTCTCACCTCCCGGTCCATAAGTCACTTTTTTGTCCCTCTTTGTTGCCAGGAGGTAAAAATGTTACACATTGTAAACTTTACTCACTGTACAACACCCGCAGGATTGGATTTCAGTGGCAGACTTTGTGTTTGAACTGCTCGGGCAATTAGTAGAGGATTGACTTACAGAGCACCTACATCCACAAAGGAGGGACCAGCCCCGTTGTACAAGGCATTTTGCCCCTCTCCATCTGTCACTCCCGTGGGACCCAGTGAGACGTAGGATGTTAGTACAGCGGTGATGTTTGAACTCTTAATCTCTATTTTTTCTCTATCTATTTCTCATATTTATTGATGCAGTTTGGAAGTTCAGAAGAATCATGACTTTACGGCATCAACATAACGTCAGGAATCTTCTTTAAAGTTTGTTAGATGTCACAGCAGTTTTTTTTTTAAACTCCCAAGATACAATAGTGTATTATTATTGTAATATGTAATTAATATCAGATGCGACACTGGAGTGTCCATGTTGTTTTTTCTGTGATTAATATTCATAGTAAATATTATTTTTTTTAGGACCATTTATATTCCAAGGAGAAAGAGGTGGGATTTAGGACTCTATTGCCCCATTTACACAACCCCTCTGAAAACGATCTGTGCCAAGTTCGGACTAAGCTAGGATCCTTACGACCGTTTACACATCACGCTAGCGCGATTCCTCGCCTCCTAGTGACGATCTATGGTACTACTGCTAGGAATGAATCAAGCAAATTGAAATGGTGGCGCCCGTAACATTCATGAAGTTATGTTTGGTTATTATAAATATAAATGTTATAATAAATGTGATATTTTGTGCAGAGTCAGGCGGAGAACGCAGCTTTTGGTCAAAACACGCTTTTTTGAAACCATTTTATAAAATGTAATGTTGAGAAGCTTTTGGTTGTTGTTTACAGTTTTTCTTCTTCTTATGTTTCATGGTGGTTGGCAAGAAACTTATTGATGTGCATTAGCCCCAACTACTGGAAGCTGACCGCAAGGAGATGCCGCACTCTGCTCATGCTCTCTTTGTCATCAGAGAACCGTGCTACAATTGAACCATGCCGAGCTTAGAGAACTAGTACCAGATTTGGCGTGGTTCGATTGTGTCTGGCACAGTCCAGTTCCATTTACACTCAAGTTATCTCGGTAACCGTGCTGGTACCGCACTCAGCATGGTTTTAAAAGGGTAGTGGAAATGGGGCTCTTGAAAGAAGTTGTGTTTTATGGATCTGTTCCAACAGTGGTTCAAAAGACTAGTTCCTTTTTGTAATATATGGCATAGATAAGCATTTAGAATACACTTTATGGGCGGTAGTTGTGCAATAACCAAGTTTCATCTACTGTAATGGGATTATCAGGAGGGTGAGCCACTTAAGATACAATTAGCGTGTTTTGTGTTCTGTTTTATGTACATGTATAAAATCTGAAAAGCAGACTTAGTAGATTTTCTCTACTTCAATCTTGCCTATATTTAAAAAGACCAAAAGGTTTTCATTTTATCTGAGAAATTACCATTGGTGCAAATCCTTTGGTAGATTAGGGCAATCACTAAAACTTAAAGATCATTCTAATACAAATTGAATTTATTCTTAATTGTTAATCATTTATTTTGAATTGTGTTTAGCTGATTTTAACTGACATTATAATTTTTACAATCCAGACATAAATGTCCCCTTTAAACTGCTACTAGGAAGTCGTATGAATGTAGTGTTTACATCATGTCTGTCCACCCTTTCAATGTCCCACCAGTATTAAGCTCTCCTCCTCACTCACACATCACACTAATTAATCTAACATGCATATTTTTAGACTGTGGAAGAAAACTAATGTTCATGCGGAGGGAAATGCAAATTCAACACAAAAAGACCAAAGTTTTGAAACCATGGCCTGATTGTTGTACGGCAACAGCGTTGCTTCCCCAGTGTTGTCTTCAAGGATAAATTTAATGTAATTTATTACAAAACTGCAAATAATTGTAACTTTACTGCATTTTATATTTTGCACTGAACACATGGCTGCCATTTTGGATTTTGGGGCCAAAGTTATGACCAATGCACTTTTCCTTCCATGGTTTCTTCCAGTTTATTTCCCCTTTTTACTTTTTCCAAGTAGACCACTGTTAAATAAAAAAGGTTTCTCTGAAAACAGATGCTATTTCTGAAATTCTGAGCATTGCACTGACCTGAATATTTGACAAAATGTGTTGTCAGTCTTCCTTTCTAAAATTAGAATGAGCTCAGCCACCAGCGATGACAAGCTCCTGCTTTAGGGAGGCTCAAGTCACACACCAGTGTTTTCAGAAATTCTTTTTGAAGTCCAGGTATTATAAATAAATTCTCTTTAAGCACAGATTCCTATATCCGCCACAGGCACAGCCGCAGGTTATCCGGCTGGTTTTAAAAATGCCGGGAATGTTACGTTGTTATACGTCTTATTTGACAGTCGGTCATAAATCAGCCTTAGCTTTGCTGTAAAGCTCATGAAGGAATCAGAAGGCCTGCAGTCTTTAATAGCAATGTCTCTGTAAGAACACCTTAATACCCTCCGCCTCTTCGGTGGTTTATTTCTAACTCTGCGTTTTGGTGCAGTGTCATGGTTTGAGGAAAACGTGAGAGCCCCGTGTGTCCAGCACCTAGCAGCTTCACTCTGGGGCCTCCTAACCCTTCAAAGCCTCATGACTGACACTGATACCAGTCACAGGGCACCTTACATGGAGGAGGCTGATGTACAGATTTCAACAGATTTATAGCTCCCCCCTGTGGAAGGGAGGATACTGATAACACCTTTTTTCAGCCTTCAATTATTTCCTAATTGGCTAGAAGTGACCACCACCTTTTTTATATTGCTAAGATGGTTTGAAATATGGACGTACAGCGCTGATGGAAGAGAGGTTGAAAAACGGAAATAAAAGGAGGGGGGTTGGTGGGCTCAGCGCAACAAGCTGTTGTATTAATCTGCACATTTTCTCAGATGACGCAAAGACTGTGCCTTTGCCTCCTGTTCTCTCTTCATCTCCACATCCTTCCGCTCAGGATCTCCCCCGATGCCTCGTTCTTGTTGGATGGGAGACAGTGACACACCACAGGTAAGCCTGTTTGCCTAATCTCCAACCCTTCCCTCTTCTAATAGCCTCAGAAATTTAAAACAATCTCTATTTATCTTCTTAGATTGTTATTTTAATGTCATTTCTGATTATAGACTTTCATTTTTAGAAAGAGGCTGAATTGTAAGTACTTCATAGATGCCATCACCAATACTTCAGTGTTAAATTTGTAGACAGTGGTTGTTCCAGGCATGTGGAACTCGTAAAATCTCGTGAAAGTGGTTCCCAAAGAAGAGGCTCAGGGAGATTTCAGAAGGAATAACGGCTTTCCAAAAAGTCTGCTGGCCCAAAGAGGTGGATTTACTTTATGGAGGGAATAAGCTGGGTGAAATTCCGTTCTGATGGACTGGGGAGAACTGCAGCAACGGATCAAACAGAGAAAAATGGGGGAAAGATGGAGTTTATTAATAGCTGGGCTTTACAAGGGTGAGGAGAGCAGATGTGATAGACAGTCTGTGTTTAAGGAGTTCAAACAACAGATTAATACACTGAGATTATCATCCCACAGAGGAGGGGAGGGCGGTGTGTGTGTGTGTTTGACATGTGTTTACGCAACACAGTCATTCACATGCAAGTATTTTGTTGCACTCACACAGCAGCAGCTGATCTAAAATCACAAAAGAGCCTTTTCCTGAAGAGTACCAGAAAGTTATATGTTATTTCTGTCATGATGGGTTCACTGAAAGCGACCCAAGAATGCAGAACACCACTGACGGACACAAGGATGAAAGTTTAACAATTTTATTTTGCACAAACACACTGAATATTCTGGTTCAGGTTCGGGGCCTGGATTCTGGTTCACCGGAGTCTGCGTGAGAGACAGTTCAGTTAGCGTTGCCAACAGAGGTTTGATTTCCAGAAGTCTACTGATTGTACCTTGAGGGTTCTTGAGGTTAGCTTTGGGAGAGTCACTGTTGGTTCTGGAGAAGAGTTCATCAGCAGAGTCCGTAGCTGCTTCAGCGTCTCACGTCTACTTAGAATTAAGTTTTCCACTCGTCGCCTTCACTGATCCTAAGGAGATGATAAGCGTTTCTTAAATCCAGTTTAGAAAATACAGTAGCCCCCTGTACGGGCTCAAAAGCAGAGGCGAGAAGAGGCAGTGGGTATTTATTTTTAATAGTGATCTGGTTCAAACCTCGATAGTCAATACAAGGTCTCAGGGAACCATCCTTTTTTCCCACGAAGAAGAACCCGGCGCCCAATGGGGAAGATGAAGGGCGAATTATTCCAGCAGCTAGTGATTCGTTGATGTACTTTTCCATTGTTTCTCTCTCGGGCTTAGAAATGTTATACAATCTACTGCTAGGTAAAGGGGCACCAGGTAGAAGTTCAATGGCACAATCGTATGGTCTGTGTGGAGGTAGGGACGTCGCACTGACCTTACGGAAGACAGGGGCAAGATCATGGTACTCAGAGGGAACTGAAGAAAGGTCAGGAGAGTCCATCTCCCCCCCACCTCTAGGAGACCCCACCAAGGGGGCAGCAGAACGAAGGCATGTCTCGTGGCATGAGATGGACCATGATCCCAGGTGACGTTTAGTCCAGTTAATGTGAGGGTTATGCTTCTCCAACCATTCGAAACCGAGCACCAGCGGGGAACATGCAGAGGGAAAAACAAAAAAAGTTATAGTCTCTCGGTGGTTACCTGACAGAAGTAGCTCGAGAGGCTGAGTTTGGTGGGTAACTTGATGGAGTCTTCTTCCGTCAATAGCGGATACACTGAGAGGCTGAGTAAGAGGAATAGTTTCAATTTGGAGTTGCTGGACGAGGTTAGAATCGATAAGGTTACGTTCACAGCCTGAGTCGATGAATGCAGAGAATGATAGGCTCTGGTTAGCACAGAAAAGTGTGGCAGGCAGCAACAATCGAGGAGATTTCTTAGTGTTTATTTGGCCCGCCAGACTCCTCAGATCCTCTGACGGGCCCAGGCTTTTGATTTAGCCGGGCAGGCAGCAATGAAGTGTCCACTCTCACCACAGTAGATACATAGCTTGCTTAGCAAACGCCTTTGTCTCTCCTCTGGTGTGAGCCTGGTGTGTCCCACCTGCATGGGTTCGACATCTCTTTCGCCCGAATGAGAGGCTTGAACAGGCAACGGTAGAGACTGGGGCTTAGGCCTCTGTATGGGCAGCTGCTCTGTAGAGGGAGAACAAACAGTCACGTTATGTGAGGCAGAATAAAGTGTACTCTGCTTCTTTGAACTGTTTCTGGCTCGAATTCTATTATCTAATCTGATGGAGAGGCGAATTAAATCTTCGAGGGTAGCAGGTTCATCGAGGGTTGCGAGTTCATCTTTAATGTGCTCGTTTAATGCCATGAAAAAGGCTCCTTTCAAGGCGCTTTGGTTCCATCCGGAAGCTGCCGCTTTAACCCGGAAGTTAATTGAAAATTCAGCCACCGAAGAGTTTCCCTGTTTAAGATTGAAAAGAGCTCTAGAATCAATAGTTTGGTCAGTTTCTTGGTTGAATACCTGGGTAAATTCAGAAATGAAATCAGAGTAGTAGCAATTTAAACTGTCGTCAGCGGCAAATCTTGCCTGAGCCCATTCCAAGGCTCTTCCTGTTAACTGAGAGAGAATGAAAGTTATCTTCTTGTGATCCGTGGAAAAACAGCCAGGGGAGTTCTGGAAAATCAACCGACATTGAAATAAAAATCCTTTGCATTCTTTCATGTTGCCAGAAAATCTTTCTGGGAGACTAGGACGGAACTCAGATGACTTCACTGCTGGTGACCTCGGAGGAGGAACTGGACCCGGAAATGGTTGTGGTACAGCATTAGCGCTGTTCAGATAATTAGCACAGTTCTGTAGCATTTGGTTATGAGAGTCAACTAGACGGTATAACTCACGGAGCGTTTGGGTTTGTCCCTGAATTTGGGCATCCTGCTCCTCCAGTCGTCGGGTGAGGTGATCTGCTGGGCCTTGAGTTTGGCCGCAGTGTTCTGTCATGATGGGTTCACTGAAAGTGACCCAAAAATGCAGAACACCACTGACGGACACAAGGATGAAAGTTTAACAATTTTATTTTGCACAAATTCACAGAATATTCTGGTTCAGGTTCGGGGCCTGGATTCTGGTTCACCGGAGTCTGCGTGAGAGACAGTTCAGTTAGCGTTGCCAACAGAGGTTTGATTTCCAGAAGTCTACTGATTGTACCTTGAGGGTTCTTGAGGTTAGCTTTGGGAGAGTCACTGTTGGTTCTGGAGAAGAGTTCATCAGCAGAGTCCGTAGCTGCTTCAGCGTCTCACGTCTACTTAGAACAGACCTTGGCTTTGGGTTACCCAGCTCAAGTCCAGAGCTGCTTGGAGGTTCTCTGTGAATCTTCGGGTTTGGCTCAGAGGGTCGGCTCGGCAGGTTAGCTCTTCCAGAGCTTTCACAGAGGAAGCACAGGTTTCCTGGAAAACAGACACAGGGGTTAGAATCCAAGCTGGATTCAAAAGTCATAGATTTACTCTGAGGATCTAGGCTTAAGCGCTGACCAACTGGAACAACACTGCGGCGTTGAGGCAAGGTCTGATGACAGCTTAAGTAGTGGATCCTCTGATGATCTAGACGAGCTGCAGCTGTGCAGGAGGCTCCCTCAGAGGATCCACGGCGGACTCTGCTGGAGAAAGGTGGAATTTCTCCAGCTCCCAACAATTTCCACACATTTTTACAAGGTTTAGGTGATACCTTTATCAGTATGATAGGCATTAAAGTAAATGTAAGAGTGTTGCATATACATTACTCAAATAAATCAAAGAAATATGATCAAACGTAGGAGTAGGGAAAACAGTTACCTGATCGAAATAGATGGCAGAAACTGGAGAGTTTTGAAGAAAGGTTAAAGAAATAAAAAAAAAAGTGGCAGATATAAATGGTCAGAAATTAATTTGACAGAATCGGAAAAGACAAAATATAAAATAATGAAACAGAAATACTTTATTTATTGGATCAAATAAATAGACTAATAAAGTAATGTACAATAGAATGGAGGTAAGAGTAGAATAGAAAAGTTTGAAGGCTATAAAACAGATCATAATACAAATAATAAAGCTTGAAAATAATCGTAAATAATAATGGACTATGCTAGAATTAAACAGAAATAGCAGAAAACATAGAAACTGACAGAAAACTGCATAACAGCATAGTATATAATGAATGGAAAACAAATAGAATAGAATAGAATAGAATAGAATAGAATAGAATAGAATAGAAGAAGTAAACATAATGTGTTAAAAGTTAGGATCATCCACATCACCTTTTCATCATTGATTTAGGGGTCATTTGCGTAGAAAATATAAATGATTGTGAACATCTGAAAATGGGCTTGTTTTCAGAGGAATCTAATATTTCTAAATTAAAATTCATGATACTGTAAATAGTTTTATTACCAGGTTTAGGTTAGTTTACACCGCTGATTAAAGAAAGCATTTAAAGAAGAAAAAAGAAAAAACTACTGCAAAAATAATAAAAAGAAATATGCAGGAATTCATTCTGTTCAGAATGAACAGAACATTTTATAAAGAAAATAATAAAATCCAAATGTTCGTGCTCAGTCGCCCTGTTTGCCAATTTCATACTTATTAAAAATGGTATCTTACATTAAATCTATATGACATTTGTGTCTGTTTGATCATTTATGTGGGAGAAAAGAGTATTTACAAAATTTCTGAGCCTCAAGGATCCCTTTTTTTGGTTGCCGGCTTCTCTGTTGCTCTCTGCATGTGCAGTAATGCACCTCGGTGTTGTCCCCCAGGTTACTTGGAAGCTCATGCCAAAGCGTCCTCGAGTAGTTTTCTGAACATTTAACCAAACATCTGAAGAGTAATCTGACGCAGAGCCACTGAAAGCATGATTGTAATCTTAAAGCTTGCAATCATTATCAGCAAACACAAGTCAGCTCCTCTGAATCCATTAACTAAACAACTTTGACCTGCGGGGAATCGGGCTGGAGCCGTTACTGTCTGACAGACATTTTAGATCCTGGGCATGTCGGCTCTCC